CTATTTTTATTTTTTTGACTACTGGTTGCTAGGTTTCCATTATTTTTTTGTTGAATTGACAAATTTTTTCCTTATTATATTTGTTTAGGATATAACCTTCATATTCTTTTAATTTTTGATTTTTCTCTTGTTTTTTATAGTGCAGAATTTTTGCTTTTTCTTTATTGATTTTCCTTTTTTTCTCTCATCACTATTACTTTTTACTATCTCCAAAAACAATTCATCTTATTCTTTTTATAAGTACTTCTTTGTTTTCCCTGGGCATTGCTATATACTTCCATTATTTTTTCTCACTTATTTTCTTTGTTATTTTATTTTAAATCTTGCTTCAGTTTTTCTTTATTATTGTTATCAGGTACAGCGAGTCTGTTGCTAATCTGAAGCTCAGGCTTGTATATAGATATGGATAGGGGTTTTGAATCACCTGCACATCAAAGGTACTGATTAATAAACTCCTCTTTAGGTGCCATTCTAATCTATACCACAAGTCCTTTGTGGTCTCTCAAGATTCTACCAGCAACAAGTACTAATCAAGGCAAGTTTATTAATTATCTTGGTGCAATTACAAGTTTATTCAATATTATATTGTCTCTATCTCTCTTATGGTATCACAGATATAGATCTCTCGCTCGATTATTAACTATGATTCTTTTTTATTTTTTCCTCTGTCACCAGCGATCTACTACTATTTATAGTAGTGCCATCACATCTATTTCCATCTACGATACGTCTTGCAGCCAGCTGATGCATAATATTATGCATCAGTGACAATGTGTTATGTCAAAGTCTAAATTATCATACAAATCACAAAAATGTCTACAATTGCCTATATACAAATATACAATTTTTATGCCAACATTATGTTATACCATTTGGGCTTTTTTCTTTTATTGCCATATTCTGAATTAATTCTTTCTTAATTTAACAACTCTAAATTGTTGTCCTTTATTAGTTATTTTATATATATACTTTTTATTTTCTCATATTATTTTATTGTTTTTTATAGATTTGCTCATCTAGCATTTCTTCTATTATAATTGTTTCTCCTTTTCTTTTTATTATCTTGTTCTATCTTATTGCTTTTATATTAAAATTCCAACTTCAGTATTCATATATCTTATCTGCAATTATATATTTCTTTCTTTTTTTATTTCACTTATATTTTGTGTAACTTTTTTTGTTAATTATATTTTTTCTTAAAGTTGCAAAAGTTTTATTTCTTCTATAATACCCAGAATATCTTTGTTCTCTATTATTATCTTTAAGCAACTTAGCCTTGTTAATACTATATATATAATAGAAATTGATAAATTCTTGATACAATTTGATACAATTATTTGACACAATTAATTAAGTTACTATTAAAATATATAAAATAATTGAGTCAGACACAATTATTTTAGAGAATTTTGACAATTGAGTTAATAACAAAATAATTTACATCACATGTATAGTTAGTACTATTCTTTCTTTTATATTTTTAATATCACTTAATACTTGAATTCTTAGTGTGCTGCTTAGGAAACTACTTACCAGACTGTTTTTTTATTTATATACTCCATCCACCATTCTTTGTCATTTTGCTATAATGTTCTCTTTGATATATATATCTATTTCTAGATATTTTATTATTGATAAGATAACTCCATTTATGAGATATTTGATTATTTCTGCCAATATTTTTTTCCTTCTTATTGTGTTGTGATTGTGTGTTACTATTTGGTTCATTTTTTTTTCTTGTATAGCTTTTCTTGATTTCTTTTGTACCTATAATTCCAAATATTTTTATTTTTTTTTTCTTCACTTGCTATAATCTATTTGCTTATTAGACTCATCTTCTGATTCTTTCTTTTTATATTAAGTACTATAATTTTAATTTTTCTATATTAACTTTTATATTATTTATATGATAAAATTCCTTTGCTATTTATAGTATTTTTTTTAATTTTTTTTTCCTTTTACTACTTAGATCATATCATCTATATAAACTATATTTCCTATAATAATTTCTTGTTCTTGTATCTTACTTGTGCTATAGTTACTTATCTATTTGTTGCTTATATTATAACTATATTTCAATTTGTTTATTTTGCTAATTAGTGGATTATAAAATATTTTCCATAGCAGAAATAATATGGGATTTTCTTGATCCAGCCTATCTTTAATTTTATATTCTTATATAATTCCATACTTTGTGATTATATCCACTGTTCTATTCTCTCTTATTTCTAAAATTATCTTAATCAATTTTAAATATTTTTTTGAATTTTAATTTTGCAAAAATAAAAAATTAAAATACAATAAAATCAATCTCTATTATAATATCCAAATTAGAAACTATTAATAATTTAAACAAATAATTGTAAATTTTATTATTTGATATCTTCAAAACTTTTGATTTAATCTTGCTAGCCTTAAAATTGTTATAAAAAGAATTAAACTTTTTATTCAAATAATTTTATTAGTTTCAAATATTCTTTACAATAGAAAACTTTAAATTATTTTTTATTATAACTTATTAATTTAATTATTCTTAGCAATGGAATTGATTAAAATAAAACTCTTACTTTTTTTTTATAAATTATTTTTATAATTTTATAGTTATTGAAAATTATAAGTTATATTTTTTTCAGATCTTAAATTTTAATATATATAAATAATATTGTCTTATTAAGTTTTTTTATTAACTCTTTTCAAGTTATTATTAATATTTTCTATTTCTTTTTTAAGTTCTATTTTATTAAATACAATAAGAAAAAAATATATTTAATTACCAATATAAAATAAAAACCTATATAGAAATTAGATTATATATGTTGAAATAAATTTATATAAGTTAAACCTTAAATTAAAATAATTTGTTACTTAAAAGTCCATATTTTTAACAAATTATTCTTTATTTTTATTAAAACTAAACTTTCTTATTGAATCATTTCAATATAACTAGAATATATAATTCATATTTCTATAAATTCCAAGCTTAATTTTTCAATTAAAAATAATAAAGTTATTAACACTAGTCTAAATAGTGCCATTCGATATGCTGCTACTCATCAAACATTCAGATATAACTATTTGGTATAATATCATTTAGCAAAAATTCAATATATGCCAAATTATAAAATAATATTTTATTTTTTGTAATTAATTATAATAAAACAATTATAAAAAAAAAATAAAATAAAATTTATAGTAAATTATTTTTAAAAAAATTAAATTTAAATAAAAATTGTTTTATGCCTAATTATAGCCAAATTTTAATGATTTTAAATATTATACTTGTGGTTTAGTGAAATTACAGCTAAATATTTACAAGAATTATATCAATTTGATATTTTATATATAATGTTGGGCCAGAAAACGGCGAGTCAGTCGCTTGCCTGGTCCAAAGTTGGAGTTATGAAAGGTAAGTCGAGGCATGTAAGATTGATTTTAGCCGAGATTTCGTTATTCACAGCTTTTCTCTTCTTTCCCGGCACCGGCTCTTCTCTTGATAATCCCGGGCTATGTCCTATAGCGGCGATTATCCTTCCTTAATTGGTGCGTACTTGAAAAAGTAAGTTGTTAATTACGATATTCCTTTTTGGCGACTCAATTTTACTAATCGTTTCTTTTAATTGCTGTTTCTATCTTATTATTCTCGTTTTTCGCTTGTATATTGGCATCACTATTTTATATCATTTACAAAAAGGATAAGAAGAACAATTAAGGGAAAAATAGACTATCGGGGCTAAAATAAACTATCAGATAAGTCATCTAAGCTTTAATGACTACATTTTTCATGTTGATTATTAATGCTATTCTACAATTTTCAGGGTACACGCCATGCCGATCATGGTACGCGACTATACCATGTGACTTTTCCCAGGCTAACATTTCCCTCCACTTATCTTTGGCATCCTCGACAAAGATTCGATCATTCACGGTACTTCTTCAGGATTTTAATATTTATAGGTGTAAGTAAGACTTTTCCTTGAAGTGTTCTTAACTTATACGCATTATTAGGAAGCTGATTGTGTATATAGAATGGACCTTTCCATTTGTCCGCAAATTTTTCACTTCGCGAACTTTCCTTAGCAACATGATATAGTAGAACTTTATCCCCAATATCAAAACCTATTGCAAGCTTCTGGTGAGTATCGTGATATAATTTTTGTTTCACTTATGCATCTCATATATTACTCATAGCCTTTTCTCTTATGGCCGGGAGCTGAGTTACAAGATCAAAAGTCCTTTGAATAATCGTTCCTTCTAACAAGTCTTTAGGCAGGCCGGAACTTATTGGCTGTCTTGCTTCTCTCCCGTGCATCAAATAAAATGGAGACATTCCAGTTGTAGCATGTTTTGCCATTCGATATGCAAAAAGAATTAATGGTATTAACAAATCCCAATCCATGACATTTGTTACTAATTTAGCTATGGCTTCGCACAAGGTTCTATTAAACCATTCGACCAGTCCATTAGTTTGTGGATAGTATGGCATAGCTATCTTATGCTTGATGTCAAGTTTCCGTGTTAGCTCCTTTATCACATTATTATTGAAATGCATACCTCTGTCCGTTATAACCTTGACTAGGCATCCATGCCTACAAATGATATCATTGTACAGAAAATTAGCTACAGTTTTGGCATCCACTCTTTTTACTGCTTGAGCTTCGGGCCACTTAGTCATGTAATCTATGGCTACAATAATATAACGCTGTAGTTTGGGTGTCCGTGGTAGGGGTCCCACAAAATCAACTCCAATTTGATAAAATGGCATAGTCACAGGTAAGGGATACAATGGTCCGGGTACTAATACTTTCCCCCTTCGTTGACATTTATCGCATCGTCGTATATAAGCTTCAATATCGGTGTACATTTTAGGCCAATGGTATACATTACGAATCTTCTCAAACATTGCATCTCGATTAAAATGACTTCCCAAGGGATGGTAATACATCATAAATAAAATTGGTTCTACTTCATGTTGACATACAACTTGTAGTAATTGGCTCCTATTACGTCCCTTTCGATATAAAATTCCATTCCTGAATTCAAAGAATTCGCTCTTCTTTCGTATCCTTTGTTTTTCTCTTGCATCGAGTATGTTTAACAATTTCCGTGTCTTCAAATATCTCATTAAGTACATGTAATGGTCTTCATCCATTGTCACTAGCATATACGCATACAATAAAGAAAGTTAATAAAAAGATATAAGCTAAACGAATAAAACAATGTTTGCTTCCATTATCTCCCCTATATTTATTATTATTATTATTATTTTTTTTTTCATTATTTTTTATTTTTTTTTTTTTGATATTAGAGCCGGGACAACACATCGGTGTTGTTGTGCTCCTTTCCTTTCCGATGCTTGACATCAAAGTTATAAGATTGGAGTTGTAAGATCCACCTTGCCCTTCTTCCCGTTAGTTTTGATGTCTTTAGCCATTGTAGTGCACTATAATTGGTGATCACTATGAATGGATTCATCCCATAGTAATGATGGAAGTGTTCCACCGCCCATAACACAGCTAAACACTTTAGCTCAGTAGCTGCATAATTTTGTTCGTGTTTCGTAAGTCCCCTGCTAGCATACGCGATGACATATTCCTTACCATTGTCATCTTTTTGTGCTAACACAGCGCCGAGCCTGATTCCTAATGCATCGGCGTAAATATAAAAAGTTTTATCAAAATCAGGGTATCGTAATACAGGTGCTATTATTAGGTGTTGCTTCAGTATTGCGAATGCCTGTTCTTGTTCTCGTCCCCATTTAAACTTTATATGCTTCTTCATCAGTTGGTACAATGGTCGAGCAATTATTGCAAATCCTCGAATAAACTTCTGGTAATAGGATGCTAGTCCTATAAAGCTTCGCAATTGCTGAAGGTCTTGTGGCGCTGAAAAGTTTCTAATCTTTTCCACCTTAGTTTTATTTGGTTTAATCCCTTTACTATCAATGATATGGCCTAGAAATCTGATTTCTTGTTTAAAGAAAACGCATTTATTCAGGTTTAACTTCAATCCTGCATTTCGAAATATCGCGAAAACTAAGCTCAAATGATTACAATGCTCTCTAAATGCGCCAGAGAAAACTATTACATCATCCAAATATACTGCTATAAATTTTCCAATGTAATCCATCAAAAACTAGTCCATTAGCCGTTGAAACGTCACTGGGGCATTACATAACCCAAAGGGCATGACGTTAAACTCGTACATCCCCATTGGTGTCACAAAAGCTGTTTTTTCTCGATCCTCTTGCTTTACGGCAATCTGTCAATATCCACACATTAAGTCCAGCATGCTAAACCATTTCGCTTTCATGAATAACTCTAAAAGGTCATCCACTCATGGTAGTGGATACTATACATATGGTGGAATTGAATTCTACCATTTTTCAAAAACCGTATTATGGTAGAATTATTAAGTAATATATAGTAAATAATTGGAATTCGTATTTAATTCGGAATCGTATTGTCGATCAAATTTCCTTTTATGGTAATACGACCACATGTATGGTGAATATGCATCTTTCTTGGTGATAGCATTCAGCTTCTGGTAATCAATGCATAATTGCAATTTTCCTCCTTTCTTCGGCACAACTACAATTGGCGAAGATCAGGGGCTACGTGACTTATTGATTAATCCTCTTTCCTTTAACTGAATAAGCTCTTGCTTTACAAAATCCCTAATACTAGGTACCATTCGATAAGCAGCTTGCTTTATTGGTCTAGTATCAACAGTACTAATCTCGTGATAAACTTTTTTAGTACACCCCAGTTCCTGGATTGATTTCGCAAAGACATCGCTTTCCCGTTTTAGGTATGTTTTTACTTCTTCCTGCTGTTCCTGATCCATTCCTTCCTGTGCACTAATTTTACTTATTCTTTCCTCGATGGTTTCTTCTTGTTGCTCATCATCCTTTGTTGGTAGTTCTTCCAATTGCGCTAGGAATACAGGACAGTCGGGTTCGTCTTCAGCGTTCACATCATCAGATTGCTCCTCAGTTCGGATCACCATATTCAAACGATTCTGCTTTTCCCTATCCTTTGTACTTTTAGATAGCAGTTTCGCTACTTTACCTTGGTCCCTCAAATTTTGCTTTCGCCGAGTATCATCATTATCAATATACTCTTCAACTTGCACCAAGTATGTTGCCGGGTTCGTCTCATGACATAACGATTCTGATGATTCTCCTTCACCAACAATCTCTTCTGTAAAATATCCTTCAGCCTCTTCTAACTCTTCATCTTCGTATTGTAACGCATTTAACAATTCATTTTCTTCATCTCCGCTATTTATTTCGTCATTGCCGTACTCCTTGTTACCGTTGCTTTTCTTTTGATTAACCCGATTCTCATCTTCGTCTTTCATTATAGGAATTTCCACGATCTGATCATCATATTCGAACGTAATCATTCTTTTGTTAAAACAGATACTCGCTTGTACCTGTTCTAACCAATCTCTTCCTAGCAATAAAGTTTCTTCATCAGAGTCGATTATTTGTAGTGGGCAGGGGATAGGGATATCACAAATGGTGATTTCCAAATTGTTGATTTGTCCCAACGCCTTTGTTCTATTGCCGGTGATTGAGATAATCGACATTGTTGATTTTCCCTCTATCTTCAGGTCCAACTGATCCATCAGTTTTTTGGACATGAAGCTTGCAGCAGCTCCTGTGTCAGTGGTAGCTATTACTGGTATTCCCCTAATTTTTACTTTACATCTAGTGGCATTCGTTCTTTTTTCAACCCTTACGTGATTAACTTCTTGTTCTACGTAGGGTCTTTTTAGTGCAGCAGCAAGATTTTTTTGTTGTTCAAGAATGCTCAACATTTGTCCAATGGTGACGTTCGCGAGTGTACTAAACAAATCTTCTACGATGTTATATTTAGATGCCGATTCTATTTGTGATGGGCCCTTCTTTCGCCTAGGCTTCCTTGGTTTTGATAGTGGTGATGAGGTTGACGTCACGGGCATCGCTTCTCCCATTACCTCATCTTCATCTTCCATTGGCGTCAGTTGTTCTATTTGGACTACGGGCTGCACCGTCGGAACTTTGTGTACAATAGATTGTACTCGTGGCCCTGCTTGTGTTACGGAAGGTATCTCTACTTTTGCCTTGTCTTTACCCTTTTCCTCTGGTTTCTTTCGGGATCGCAAACGACCTTCCCATACCGATTCATTTCTAGGTTGAAGTTTTTGGGGTCTACTGGTATATGACGTTCCTTCCTCTTCTCCGTGAAACTTTGGTACCTTCACCAAGTTACTTTTACCCACCTCTTTCTGGTTAACCTCCTTAAACACTCGTGCGATTTCTTTCCAGAACCCGGGTTTAAACGTTGTATCTTCTCTTAAGAAACTTTCCCCGGTACTATCCATTGGTTCTGTTTCGTGGAATTCCTCGGGTTCAGTTTCATCTATCCTCCTTTCTTCTAACCTCCTTTCTTCTATCGTTCTTTTCATCATGTTGTTGTTGTTTTTTTTTCAGGAAGCAATGAAACAGTAAAAATAGCAATAATTCTTACCCAATCAGTATGTTTCCTTATTCCGTATTTTTCTTTGTTCATGCTTCTCTCGTAACTTTCTTCCTAAAATTAACAAGTATTAATCCGCACAATTTTATTGGGAAGTAATGAGATGTCCTATCTTACAGTCACCACCAAATTGTTGGGCCGGAAAATGGCAAGTCAATCGCTTGCCTGGTCAAAAGTTGGAGTTATGAAAGGTAAGTCGAGGCGTGTAAGATTGATTTTAGCCGAGATTTCATTATTAACAGTTTTTCTCTTCTTTCCCGGCACCGGCTCTTTTCTTGATAATCCTGGGCTATGTCCTATAGCAGCGATTATCTTTCTTTAATTGGTGCGTACTTGAAAAGGTAAGTTGTTAATTACGATATTCCTTTTTGGTGACTCAATTTTACTAATCGTTTCTTTTAATTGCTGTTTCTATCTTATTATTCTCGTTTTTCGCTTATACATTGGCATCACTATTTTATATCATTTACAAAAAGAATAAGAAGAACAATTAAGGGAAAAATAGACTATCGGGGCTAAAATAAACTATCAGGTAAGTCATCTAA